TGTCTGTCTGACTGACTGTCTCTCTGTCTGTTATGTCTGTCTGTTTTGTGTTCGCTCTCGGCTCATGCTATTGGCTATCGCTCTTCACAAGAGGGTCAACTAAGACCAGCCATCTAGTGCAGATGGTGTCACACCATTGGATGGTGTCCCTGTGTTTGGCCAATCAGAAGAAGGGAGGAGGGAGGGGATTCAGGGCTGAGCGAATCAAGCGGCAGTGAGGCCAGTCGGTTGTGGGTGTGTGAGGCTGTGGGCGTTGCCGGGGCAACCCTGGACACCTGGTTGACAGATGAGAGAGGGATCAGGTACAAAAAGCACCGCCAGGATGAGAGCCTGAAGGATACAGAATGGGTTATTTTGGGTGGTGAGAATGTTTAGCTATAGCTCAAATTCCAAATTCTGCCAATTATGTTTTTTGTGATCTTTGTTTTACACTGTTGTGTGTGGGTGGATCTCCCAGCCATTGCATGGAGTTTCATTGTGAAAATAAAATAAAAAAACAACAATAAAACGAAATTGGTCAGTTAGGTGTCAGGTTACATTTTTTTGTTTGCTTTCTGACATGTTTTGTGTGTGACATTTCCTCATCTTTCTTCCTCCTCCTCTTCCTCGTACTGCCGTTCGTTCTGGTCTGTCCACTTCAACCGATCTCTTTTCAGCCTTCTGTATAGGGAGATGGTTGTTCTCTGGGGGGTTTATTTCCTGTTTTTGTGTTGTTGGTTGGTTGGTGAGCAAAAATACTTTAGTGTCAGCAGTTTGTTTGTAGTCAGTGTTGGTTTGTTTTGTGTGTTGTGTTGTTTTTCCATTTCCAATTTTGTTATGACACAATTTTAGCGGTTGATTCAGAGGCCTTGTCAGAGGAACCAAGACTGTAGAAGAGAAGAGAAAGATATACAGGAAACATTAGGTTCATGTTTGTCATGTGGTAACATCACTACGTTCAACAGTTACACATTTATAAGTAAATAAATGGTTCAGGAAAATAATCAATTTAATTTCAAGTTGACTCAAGTTTTTTGTCATGCAAAATATTAACTAGCCACTACAGGGCCACCCTCCATAGCAACTTTTCCCTTTACTGAGCTGAGCCTCGATCATACCCCACTGCCTAGGAACCTTAAATTGATCATTTCTCACACAGTATGTAAGTAAGTCATTTCAAGACAACAGTTAGTAAAAGTACTACTTCCAAGTTGTAGTATTTCAACCTTCAAAGTCTCCAATAAGTACAACGTTTAGATGTAACATGATTCACAAGTCTTTCTCTACTGTTTCAAATGACACCATGAAGCCAGGTAGGCCATGCAGCTACTCCCAGGATCAGGTTTCACAGTTTGATAAGACTTACAGAGGGTGCAGAGTTATAGGGTTGGCAGTTGGCTCTGGGAGCTGGGTTCCAATATTATTGGAAATAGTTTCTAGGCTGGATTGAGCTTGCCTGGCACAATTGAAATGATTTCAAATAGTATTTGAACCAAGGTCTGGTTAAGACTGGCAGCTCTGCTCAGGCTCCAGCCAACATTCCACAGACCAGGCCAGAGTAGACCCAGGGAAGGGCAGCTAATCGCTGTCAGCCCTATAGCTACACTCTGCTCTCTGTTCTGTTACATTATTTTCTTCTTTTAGGACCCCGGAGAGAAAGTTTCTCTCCCCCAATTTTCCCCTCTCTTTCCTTCCTCCTTTTCCCTTTCCCAGGATCCTTTGGGGCTTCTAACTCCTCCTCTTTTCTCTCCCAACTTCCTCTCTCCTCTCTCTCAATGTAATCCCTGGCAGGACTGACCACTCCCCCTTCTCTTTAACCCCCCTTCAAGTCCAAGTTCAACTGCCTATGACATCATGTCTGGTTGCCGCCGGCAACCAGACAGTTGGGACGTGACTTCGCCTGTGGAGCACAGAGCTTGAACTAACTCCCTCTCTCTTTCTCTCTCACCCCCTCTCTTTTTCCTTCTCTCCCTGCATGGCTTGTGTTTAGCCACCAGAGAGCTCCTCAGACCAGCTATACACTGAGTGTACAAAACATTAGGAACACCTACCCTAATATTGAGTTGCACCAAGAAATTGGAAATACAGAAGTTGTCATCAAAGAAATTGGAAATACAGAAATTGTCATCAAAGAAATTGGAAATACAGAAATTGTCATCAAAGCAATTGGAAATACAGAAATTGTCATCCTACAAGAAACATGGTATAGAGGAGACGGACCCACTGGTTGCCCTCTAGGTTACAGAGAGCTGGTAGTCCCATCCACCAAACTACCAGGTGTGAAACAGGGAAGACACTCAGGGGGTATGCTAATTTGGTATAAAGCAGACCTAACCCACTCTATTAAATTAGTCAAACCAGGAACATTTTACATCTGGCTAGAAATGAATAAGGAAATGATCTCAACAGAGAAAAATGTCCTCATGTATGCTACCTATATCCCCCCAATAGAATCCCCATACCTTAACGATGACAGCTTCTCCATCCTAGAGGGGGAGATCAAATATTTCCAGGCCCAGGG